CGTCCCCCTGGCTCCCCCCACACCCCGGCGCACAACAAGGTGTACAGCCGCTGGGTCGCCCGGCCTGGCCCAACAACAAACATGCATTCTAGGCTCCCCCGTGTCTCATATTCCCGTCGATGGATTTGAGAACACATTCCGATGTATCGCTTAGATATAGCCCCGGTTTGGATTATCCGTTTTGTCCGGTTTGGAACATCCTAAATGTTTCCAAACACATACTGCTGCGAAATGTGCAATATTTTGCCCGCCTCAATTTAATCATAGTTTACTTTCCCCTTTGGAATATGGAAATCCGGAAGTGCGGAAGTTGAACGGAAATATTTCGCTTTTTTTCAGTATTAATTGTTTCATTTTTTTCTATTTTTGATTTTTTTTTCACGTACAGCATGTCTCTAGTGCCGCTGCTGTTCCGCGACTGGTGGGACGAGAGGACGGACCGCGAGCGTCCGTCCCGGCTGCTGGACCAGCACTTCGGCCTGGGTCTGAACCGGGACGAGCTGGTGCGGGACCTGGTGCCGCCGCCGAGGGCATCCTCGCTGCTACGCGGCCACTACCTGCGGCCCTGGCACCTGCCGCGCCAGAACTCGGGCAGCTCCAGCCTCGCCTTCGAGAACAACCAGTTCCAGGCAAGGCCTACAACAACCCAAATCCAACCAAACACTACCGAAACGCACAACCCAAATCCCACCCAAATCCAATCCAAATCCAACCCGATTCGCGTTATCAACGTTGGCGCCCTCGCAAAATGTTGATGGCGGTTCCTTATGGTTCAGGTGTCGCTGGACGTGCAGCAGTTCGCGCCGGCCGAGCTCTCCGTCAAGGTGTCGGAGCGCAGCGTGCTGGTGGAGGGCTGCCACGAGGAGCGCGCCGACGAGCACGGCTACATCTCGCGCCAGTTCAAGCGGCGCTACCTCCTGCCCGAGGACGTGGACACGGAGGCCGTGAGCTCGTCGCTGTCCTCTGACGGCGTGCTCACCATCACCGCGCCCAGCAAGGTAAAGGGTGGGGAACTTTCTCCGCGACTCATTTGTGCGCTGACTCAGAATGGGGTGCTTTTATTATCAAATGACGCAGAGTTTTCAATCCGAGTGTCAGGGATGTCATGGTAAATGTACCCCCTCCCCTACACGCGGGTGTGGATACTTTTCTCATGGTCGTGTCTCTTGTTGTGCCCCGCAGAAGCAGCTGCCCGCCGGCGAGCGCGCCGTGCCCATCACGCAGACCGGGGCGCCGGCGCTGTCCCCGGCGCCGCAGCCGCCCGCGCCCCACGCCCCCTTCCCCGGGGCCGCCGCTCCCGCCGCCCCCGTCTTCGGCGCCGCCCCCACCGCCCCCGTGACCCCGGGCGGACCTGTCACCACCAACATTCACATTCAGCAGGAGCACTGAGCGACAGGGGCGCCCCCAACAACCATGCCGCGCGCCACACCATCTTTCTCCGATATACCTTTTCTTCTTTTTCTACAAAAACCCCAGTGAAAAAAGTATTTTTGTATTATTGCTTATTATGATTGAAATAAATTAATTTCAGCAAGTTTTTAAAAAAATATTTTTAAAAATGAGCAAGTTTTTGCCGACGTTTAGGTGGGCGGTATTGCTTCCGAATCCTCGGCCAGAGAGGAGGGAAGTCCCGATTGGTTCGCCTCCTCCCCCCTCCCTCTGATGGCCCCAGCACACGCCATGCGGGCCTCCGGGCAGGACGCGTGCAGCGCGCCGGATTAGTCTTGATCGGCCTGCCCCCGCTCCCCCCCCCGTCCCTCGCACTCTACTCCCCTCCCCCGCCGCCCCCGCCTTCTCCTTTTAGAGTCACAAATGCACGACATTTTTATGGACTAAGGGAACATCTTTCATACATCTCAAAATCATTGACCTCGTCAAGCAGGACGATACTGCTAATGTAATCTGCTGTTTTACTGACGCTATATGATAAAGTTACCCTCAACTTATATACCAATGACCTCCGAAACACACGTACTTCACAACCCCCTTGTTAGAGTGTCGTCGGAAAGTTACCCAACTTCGAAAAAAAATTAAAAATTACGTGATACAGTTCCTTATTTTTAACCCCCGCCCTCGTCCCCGTTTTCTATCACCGTGGATTCTGAAGTCGATTCTATATAAGGAGTCCCAATTTCTTTCTGACTAACGGCCTGTTTTGCAAATTTGTTGTCGACTGGAAGAGTTCTTATCACCGCTCTCCGCCAGTCTTTCGGAACGGAGGTTGGTGTGTGTGTGTGGGGGCGCTCAAGGGAAAGAAACCGAACGCTCAAGGGAAAGAAACCGACGGCCGAGGCGGAGTAAAACTTAGTTAGAATAGAGTCGTTTAGAGGGGGTAATCACAGCGCTTCCCCCCCTTCCCCACGCGGGAAATAGAATTAATATCGAGTCCGCTCCCCGTGACCCGCCCCCTCCGCCGCGACACTGCCGGGGGTGGGGGTGCGGTGACAATACTTGACAACCATTAGCCTCCCCCCCTCCTCTCCCCGGTGCAGCCGCGCCCGGAGCGGTGGGGCCCGCGGCGGCGCCCCGGCCCGAAGCCGTGCAGTCCGCGCGCGCCCGCGTCCGGAGCCGGCCGCGCGCGCAGCCGAGGCGGTGTGCTCTTTCTCTCTCTCTCTCTCTCACATACACACACCGAGCGGGCTCTGTTGCGGTCTGCTGGGGGCAGCGATGCCGTGCCGCGCCCCCGCGCCACGACGCGCGCACCGGCCGCGCCGCCGCCGCCTGCTCCGCGTGCAGGCCGAGAACTTTGTTGTCGTGCTGCTGCTAGCGCAGCCCTAGCGCCCACCGGGGCCCCCGCCCGCGCCCCTGCAGTCCAGGTGAGAGCTGTGCGGCCCCGGCGTGTGTGTGTGTGTGTGTGTGTGTGTCTCACACATATGTAGCCTCATCCTGACGAGCAGGCTAGAGAGAGATTTTAATTTTGCGGGAAAAGTGACAGTTTTATTTCGAATTAAAAAAAAAGAGAAGTTTCCGTGAATATTTGAAAAAAAAAATAACAAACAAACGAAATACAGGGCTGTTTTTTCGTTTTTTCCGCAACTGTTCCTATTTTTTCCGGCCTTTAAATCTCTAGATGTAGGCAACGGCGCTGCGCGGAGTACAGTCCGCCGCGGGGTGGTAGGCTACACCACTGCATGCTCTTTAGCGCCTCGCGCGCTTTTCCCCTCTCTCCGTGACGGGACTCTCAGTACAACTCTACCCGCTCACGCCAACAACAACACACACTGGAGGCAGCAGGCGTCCTCCCCAGCGCGGACCCCCCCTCCCCTCCTCTTCCCTCTACTTCTCCCAACCCACAGCTACGCGATCTGAACTTACTTACCGGTCGCAATACGTTCACACAGCGAGTAAATAGGGTTGGAAACCCTGGAACGTCGCCTGAAATTTTAAGAAAAAAAACCCTAAAATTTCCTGGGAAAATGGTAAATTTCGCAGACCTTGGAAGTTTTCCATTATTTTCGGTAATTTTTCAGAAATTTTCCGGAAAATTTTGGGAATTTCTAACCTCACGAGTGAACATGCAGGGTGGGCGAGGGTGGGTGATCCGCGCCGTCTTTTTATTTTCTGCTAATACTGTACCGGATTCTAACGAGGCGGCGTGCATCACTAGCGCCCTGCACACAAGATATGCGGCGCACAGCGTAAACGCTTAGAGGAGCAAGGCAGACGTACCCTGCATTAATCCCTTCCAACCCCCCCCCCACGCCAACCCCCCTTTGTGGGTTTAGGGGCCCTGTCCCCCCCCCCCTTGCTTCGCCCCTTTCACCATTCATGTCCGTGAGGGGTGTATAGTGGTGCGTTGAACGCGGGTCGACGCGCAGGCGACACGCCGGCACGCTATAAGACACCCCCTCCTCCCCACCACCGATGACTTTATCAGGTTATACCTCCTTTCTGCTGCGGTAGTCCGCATATCCCGTACATCGAAGCCGCTGTACTACTCGATGTTGAAGACACCACATCGTTTTTCTTTTATTTATTTTTGTAATGTTATGTATTTGCGAGTTATAAGAATAATGAAGAATAATGTATACACCCAAGCCAGAAATGCATCGACGTTTATGTACGTCGACTTTGCATCAACTTTGAGCAGACCAAATAGTTGGTCCGAAATTAAAACGTTGCTTCGAATTAAACGTCGATTCAACGTTGAATCAACTTTCCGTCTCCTGCCCCGGTCGACGTGGACGTGAAGGTGTCACTTCTGCAGGTATCACCCCGGGGGGCGCGTCGTCGGCCGGGTCAGAACGCCCGCGACGACTGACACCTCCATTTCGGCGGAGCACGCCTGCCCCCCCCCCCCCCTTTCCTCACATCAGCCGACGAGCGTGCAAAAACAACAACAACTACACCCAATGAAGGAAAATAAAAAGGGAGGGAGTCTCCTTTTAGTGGAGCCGCTGCTCGGGGTTGGTCTGGTGCAGCTCTCCCCCTCCCCAAGGTTAATCGTGCACCCCCAGGACCCCCCCCCCCCCCCCCCCCCCGTTCCGTTAGTGGGACACCCAGTACCCGCCGCCCGGAGCTTACTCCTATACCAACGCGTCACGAGGACGCATTAACCGCGATGACTTACGACTGGCGCGAGCGGCGCGCAGCCCAACCGACTCACTCGATATTCATGGATGTAATATATATTTTACGACGTCGCATGCTGCTTTAATGGAAAGAGGCAGGCAAAAGAAGGATGGTTACTGTGCCGCGATTCATTTGTATATTTCGTCCCTCGATGTGACGAGAGGAGAGGTGGTGAAAGCGTGGAGCGACAAACGCGTTCAGCAACGTACGTTCGCTCGCCCGCCCTCCCCTCCACCTCAGCCCCTCGGCGCGGCGCCGGGCCACCGGGTGCGCTCGGCTGCTCGGCGGGCTGGGCTACCCGGCGCGTGGCAGGCGCCATCACACTAGCAGCGCCGCATTGCCTCGCGAGACGGAGGCACCTGGAAACCGCCACCTTCCTCTTCGGACAAAAAATAAATAAAATGTTGCCCCATGTTATTTAGAGCGTAAACGGCATTTTGTTACCGAGGACCTGAATTAAAATTAATCTACAGTTTGTCGGTGTAGGTAAAAGAACGAGTAAAGCGAACCTGTGTGCATTTTCTGATCGTTTATTTATGTCGGAGTATTACATTTGGTGTGCAGAGGAGGAACGTCTGGGTTCGGCGAGGACGGTGTAGTTTTGCGGGGCGCAGGTCAGGCCTGGCTGCGGTTTGGTGGACAAGGGCTCGCCTCCAGGGGGTGCCGAGATCCGTAGTCTGTTCATCACGTTGGCGAAGAACAAAAACGCCGTTTGTACGGTGAAGGCCTCGCCAATGCACACTCTTTTGCCTGAAATTGATGAAAGATTAGTACAATATTCTTCACGACACCCGCGTCCGCGTTTGTTCCAGCAGAAAACACACGGGAAACCCAAGTATGTGAATGTCACACACTTGTAGGTGTGCGAATGTCCACTCGTTCACTTAAGGGAGTAAAAAAGTGTAAATTTTCTTTTGAATTTCACACACTTGTGCTCCATGCGTACGAATAGCACGAATACACATAATACAAGTATGCGAATGTCGCACACCTGGGTTTGCGGTGCATTATTCAGATTTTGTTCGTACCGTGGCCGAAGTTGGCCATCCAGGGATCCTTGACGAAAGCGCCGTCTTTGCCGATGAAGCGCTCGGGGCGGAAGACTTCCGGGTCTCCCCAGTGAGCCTTGTCGTTGAGAACGACCCACAGACTAAGGTTTATCATCGTTCCCTGTAGATTAGGGGAAACAGACTTTACTGAGAGGCATTCGAAACCAAGTGGCGCCCAAAGTGGTCATGCGCGTTAAAAGCAAACAATCTTTTTAAACGCATCATGAATGAGCAAAAAATGTGCACAAGCAGTCGTATAGCCCACCTTTGGAATAGTGTAACCGTTCAACTCCACGTCCTTCGTGTTGCTGTGAGGAACTGACAAAGGCGCAATCGGGTTGATACGCATCACCTCAGTCAACGTCGCCTCGGTGTAGGGCAGCCTATAGACGAGTGGGAAAGGAAACGCAAAAGTTTAAAGTGCGTTACTGGGCGTAGAATTTAAGTGATGTGCGGGTGTCTGCGAGTCGATTCAAGGTTACGGGTGGTTCAAATACTAAGTGCCTTTTTTTTGGGGGGGGGGTACAAATAGTATACGGTCCTAAAATGATGAGAACCAAAAATGGAGTCCATGGGGACCCCATTATATTTGTACCCCGGTGTACAAATATTATGGGGTCCTACGAGCTTCGATGATGGTCCTGATCTATTTTGGACCTCATGATATTTGTGCCCCCCCCCCCCCGAGGCACGTAGTCCTTGAACGACCCCTTTACCTCGTCCTGTCCGCCAGGCCGACCGTCTTGTCCGCCCCGCCCACCACGGCGTCCAGCTCCGCGTGCAGTTTGGCCTGCTTGTCGGGGTGCAGCGCCATGTACAGCAGGCAGAACGACAGCGTGTTGGCCGTGGACTCGCCTCCCGCGATGAACATGTCGAGCACCGATATGATGAGGCTCTCTTCTGCGCCGACCAAAGACAAAGCATTAGCAACGCGCGGACGTTTTCATCTTTTGGATCCCCGTCAAAATGTCGGGGCATAAACAATAAAAATTCATAATCTACAAAAATCAACACTCTTTCTTTGAACCTTACCAGTGAGGGTACTTCCGGGCTCTGCAGTCTCAATTCGATCCATGTATTTACTCATGAAAGAGCCTGTACGGTCCTGTTGCTGCAGTTTAATTTCCTCCTACACAATAGAAAAAAAATGATGATCGTCGTGTCGACGTAACATTTGTATCCACACGGAGTGTTAGGGTCGTGCAAAATGTCATTTTCTTTGTGTAAAGGCGCGTGACCCCTAGAGTTCTGTGCGATATATCCAGATTTTGATATCGACCAGGTTTCAAGCATCGACCTGATGCATCGAGTCGAGTCTCGATAATATTGTATAATATTGTACATCGTAAGGGGCCGTAACTAAACGTGACGCATTTTGACCGGTTTTTGAACCCCCCTCCCCCTTTGTGGTGCTCCGTTGTGTTTACGCGATCGCCCCCCCCCCTCCCTGCAAAATGCGTCACGTGGTTTGGGGATGGCCCTTAAGTAGTACCAAACGATGTCGTGAAGACGACATGCCCTGAAATAGCCCATACATATAGTAAATCGAGCAACCTCGATATCGATACCGATATTGGGTTAATATAGAGCCGTCGCCGATGTCCGACAAAATCGTGATATCGCCCCTGATGAGAGAGATGTTGCGCTTCTCGCCGACTCACCCGGATGAAGGCCTGCATGTCGAAGATGGGTCCGTAGATGGCGTTGTACGACGACAGCTCGGGCGCGACGTACTTGAGGAACGGCCAGCTGTCGACGGGCGCCACGGCCACGTTCTTGGTGCGGATGAACTTCTCCATGATGTGGTGGAGGCGGACGCTCTGGGCGTCCTGTTCCTTGCCGACGCCCTTCGAGAACGGCTTGCCCGACACGAGCCACCACAGCACGTTGAGCACGGGCGCGTGGAACAGCATGTTGGGCTGGACGGCGGGCCCATCCCGGGCCACGGCCTCCAGCGTCGCGTCCACCTCGTCCAGCACCACGCCCTCCATGACGCTCTTGCCCATGCCCAGGTCGCGGAGCTCCCGCAGCGCGAAGCGACGCTGCTCCGTCCAGTACGGCCCGTCGCTGAACATGATGCCTGCCAGGGAGAAGACCAAACACTGTCAAAAATGTGCTCGTGAATTTACGACATATTTTGGAAGCTTGCTATTAACAGCCCATCCCTGCTTGTCGATGGATTCCAAGTCGATACGTTCAATTTGTGGTTTTACAATTTTGAAATTTTACGACCAACGCTTCATAGAAAATTTCTCCCGTAAAACCTTTACAACTATATTTTTCTCGGCTAAACTAGGAAAAATAATCAACAAATCTTAAATTAATTAAAAGTATTGGGAGCGACGCCAGAGAACCCCGGGCTACGCTAGCTAGGCGGCGGCGGGGCCGCGCTGCTAGCGCCCGCCACACGCAGGGTAGGCCTAAGGCAGGCCGGCCCGCCGAGCAGCGGCGAGTCATTGGCGGCGTGCTTTTGCTCCCCGGGCGTGTTGTCATTCGCGCTCTTTCACTCTCGTGGGGTCGCCCGTCCCCGTACGTATTTCTCTCTCGCACCGACCAAGTAGTGGTGCTGTCGCCGACTGTCGCTTACCTAGCTTCTTGCCGAAGGAGCGCTCGGTCGTGAAGAAGAGGTCAGCGCGGCCCTGGCAGTCCTCGTGCGCCAGGACGTCGAGCACCTCCTGCGCCCCGCACACGATGAGCATGGTGTCCCGGCCCGTGGTGAGCCCGACCAGCGGCCCGTACTTGGACAGCCAGTGCTTGTCGGCGTACAGGTGCCAGTGCTCCGCGGGGAAGAAGGGCATCGAGCCGACCAGCGGCAGCCGCAGCGGTCCTGCGAGAGATAGGTGGAAGGAAAAGTAGTGTGTTAAACAAAACCAACACAAAAAAACACTATTTATTATTATTACTGATTGGACCGAAAATCAATTCGGAATGCCGAGGTATTTAACACGTTCCGTTCCGTTCAGCTCGGCTCGTTTTTGGAGCCTGTTATTGAACGACATGGAAGCGTGACCACATAGTGGCCATACATCACTGAACGTGCCGGCAACGGGCAGACAACAACGGTTGGTTGTTGCCCACGCCTCGCAGCGAGCGACACGCCCACGCCAACCACCGACCACCTGGCGATCATTTTGTGCGGGACACAAACTCTCTACAGCTCCCGGCGGAGACTCCTACCTGGGGGGAAGTTCTTGAGGCGCCTGAGGTTGCCGAGGTAGTTGAAGAGGGCGAACAGCGCGAGCAGCAGCAGCGCGAGCAGCGCCAGGGCGAGCATGGTGAGCGCGGGGTTCGTCTAGCAGGAGCAGCAGACGACGACGAGCGAGGAGGAGGTGATGTGTGGTGACCAGTGGTGACGGCGGGTGACTGGGAGAGACTGGCGCCGCTCACTGCCGTCCCGGAGTCGCTCTACTCACGCACTCGCCGGGGCTTCGGGAGCGGGGAGAGGGGGAGCGGCCGGGCGCAGCCTCCAAAAGCGCTGAGAAGATGACGGCGTGACGGGCACCTTTTGGGGCCATGCCTGGCCCGGCCATCGGCCATGCCCTGATCCCGCGAGCTGTCTCTGTTTACGCCGAGAATGACTTCGCGTTTTTCAGGCCAAACAAGACTATTATTACAACTTCATGATTCCCATATATTAACAGGCCACCTATCGATTCCTCTCCGTCTTTCCTTTCCGTTTACCCTGCCTCTCTCTATCTCTCTCACACACGTGATGCCCCCCCTCCTCCCGCCCAAGGTCATTGTTACAGATTACAGCCATATCGGGAGTAAATCGAAGTCATGCTGCGGGTTGCTAAAGGAAAAACCTAGGAGTTGGGTTGGGAAGGCAGGGGGAAGGGGGGGGGGGGGTGATGACGTTTGCACGAATTCTCGAATCGCATAATGTCTTAATAATAAGAACATTTCATTATCCCCTCTCCTCTCTCCCCGCGAAGGAAATAGGTTCCTACTTACTGTCAAAATGGATTTTTCTTGAAACTTGTCAATTTTTTAAATTCTTATTTCTATATCGGCCATTAATTGTGTGCTCTAAAAAATCTTTTTGGCTCTTTCTGAGAGCTCTTAAACACGTTCCCTGCAGCATGACCACTTTGTGGTCACGCGCCCATGTTAAACCATAGGAACAAAAATGAGCGTGTTAATCATGGGAAATGTTGGTGGACCTTCAAATTCACGTCGTTTCTATGGGAAAACCATGGTTGATTTTCTTTCGTGTGACTAGAGAACACGGTTTTGTCAAACTGACACCAACTGATGTCAGTGTCAATTTTTTTTTTCATTTTGGTGGCCTACTTTGACGCCAATTTTGACATAGTGATGTTAGTGATGTCATTCGATATCAAAATGACGTCAAATCAGGCCACCGGAATGACAAAATGTAGATATACTGACATCACTTGATGTGCCATTTTGACAAAACCGCGGCCTCTGGGTGACCGTGCGTCACGGTCACTTCACTTTTAATAATTGCATGCTACAGAATATTTCATTCAGAAAAAACAATCGACCACGGTGTATGGTTAGGGGAAACACGGGTGTTTCGGATAGGCAGCCGTGCGCGCGTCGCGTTCAAACTTTGCCGCGCCTGGCCGCGGCGGCCCCGTTTACCTCCCGGCGCGGCCGCCAGACGGCGCCACCAGTCTTTATCCTTGGCCCAGGGCACGGGAGCGCGCCACAACACCCGGGCCGCAGGCGCGCGAGGAGGTGGACCGCGCACCGAAGTGCGGCGACCGGCGTGTGGCAGGCTGCGGCCGGCCCGAGGGGAGGAGCGGAGGGGAGGGGAGGGG